AGGCACATGTGTGTGCATGCCCAAAATCCTGAGAGGAGAATGGAGAAGAGATTGCAGTGTGGCCATCCCCCTGGGGGGGGGGGGATTTCTCGCTTTCTTTCTCTCTGTCTCTCTTTCTGGTTAGTGCACGTACCCTATAGCAAAAACTTCTCCAAAAGAAAAAAAAAAAAGAATCTAATTAGTGTAACAGAATAGTTAAAAGTAAGGATTTGGGACCAGCTAGTAATGTGGCTGGACCTAACATGGCCAGCTGTATAGTTTGAGTCTCGAACCCAGCAGTTTGAGAAACATGCCCAATATTCCGAAAGGAGGGAGAAATGGAGAAGGGATTATGTCATAACCATTCCCCATCGGGGATACTTTCTCAAATCTTCTCTCTCCAGCAAGTGTACTCAAGCTCTGGCAAATTAAAATAAGCAAAAGCAAAAAAAAAAGTAAGTTTCAGGGCCAGCTCCATGCCATAGTGGTGGTGAAGAGATAGAAGACGCTGGATTCCACATTGTGACCATGGCTCTAATCCTCAGCCCAGTCAGCCTAGGGCACATGTGGCACAAGCATGAGTGCCAGGGATCCGATGGGCTGGAGGACTGGAGGAAGGGGATCATGGTAGGACCAGACCTTTTAAAAGGTGCTCCTCTGTCTCTCACCTTTACATGCACACATGCTCCGTCATGAATGAAAAAAAAAGTACAAGTCTTAGAATTAGACAATCTAGTCTGAATCCTAGCTCTACCAATTATGCTGTTTCATCATTATTATTTTTTTGACATTTTTGCATTAGGGCACATGCTGGGGAAAGAGAAAAAGACACAGACTAAGTGAGAAGGGAAGTGAGAAATCACCTCCCAGGGGGAATGGCCGTGCTGCAATCCTTTCTCCTCCTAGGATTTTGGATACACACATACACACACACACCCAGCATGATTTTCAAGTCACCGGGTCCAGAACTTGAAACGCGGTCAGCCATGTGGGAGTCCAGTAACATAAATGTTACTCCATCTGCTGGGATTCACCAATTATACTATTGATAGTTGCATGGTCTATGGCAAATTATCTTATCTCCCTAAGCCTCAGTCTCCCCATCTTTAAATGGGAATAGTTAAGAGGCCAGCAGGTGGCACAGTGGTTGAGGGTGCTGGACTCCCACATGGCCAACCACAGTTCAAGTCCAGGACCTGGCAGCTTGCTTTCTCACCTTCTCTCTCTCTCTCTCTGTCCCTCTCTGGTCAAATAATAAATACACAAACAAACAAACAAATATATAAAGTTAAATAAAAATAATTATTTTTTCTTTGAGGTTTTTTTTTTTTTTTGCTACAGGGTGCATGTGCTTGCCAGACAGACAGAGAGAGACAGAGAGACAGAAAGCAAGAAATCACCCCCCAGGGGGGATGGCCATGCCGCAATCCCTTCTCCTCCATTCTCCTCTCGGGATCTTGGGCACACACACACACACACACGCCTGGCATGAGTTTAAGCCACTGGGTCCGGGACTCAAACCATGGTCTACTACATGGGAGTCCAGCAACATAGCCATTACGCTAATTGCTGGTCCCAAATAAAAATAATTCTTTAAAGGAAATGGGAATAGTTACACCTGTCCCTTAGTCCTGTGAGGATAATAAGAGATAACACATGGTACACACTTAAGTGTTCCTTAAATGACAGGTAGGTAATAATTATTATCCAATAACTGAATAACGCTATTAATAACTAATATAATAATATGTTAGATAGACTATATAACATACTATATATAATGTAATAATATGATTGAATATTATTATTATTCAACTCAAGCAACGACCATCCCCTTGAGGGGTGATTTCTCACTTTCCCTCTCCTGTATCTCTCTGTTTCTCTCCTCTTTGATGAGCACACGAACCCTATGGCAAAAGCCTTAAAACAAAAAAACAGAAAACAGCAGATGGCATAATGGTTATGGCGCTGGACTCCTACATAGTCAACTGTGGTTCAAGTCCTGGACCCAGTGTCTTGAAACTCACACTGGGTATGTATACATGTGTGCCCAAAATCCTGAGAGGAAAATGGAGGATGGATTACGGCGTGGCCATCCTCCTGGGGGGTGATTTCTCACTTTCTGTCTCTTTATCATTCTCTGTCTCTGGGGCGAGCTCACATACCCTATAGCAAAAATCCCTCTAAAAATAAAAAAAACTGCACAAATATCCAGCCTAGCATTCTTCCACATAAAAAATAATTTTCTCTTCTCATTTTCCAGCTTTTGTTTCTTTTTAAGAATAATTAATTTTCTATTATTATTATCTTATTCGACTATAGAGAGAGAAAATTAGAAAGCAAGCTGCCAGGTCTGGGCCTTGAACTTCAGTGGGGAATGTGGGAGTCCAGCACCTCAACCACCACCACCACTGGAACTGCCCTATGTTAATACCCTACAAACTCACCATATTCTGTTACCTACAATCATTATTCATGTCCCTGTCCATTTCTCATTAGACTGTAAATTACATGAGGAAAGCAGCCATACATTTTATTTATGTATCTCTCTCCTAGTAGGGTTACTACAGTGTTTGAAGTATAGCAAGACTAAATTCAACATTTGTTTGTGACAGAACAGGATATTGGTAGGAGGCAGTGGGAACCTCATCAACTTTAATGCAATATTTTCTTTTCTTTTCTTTTTTTTTTTTGAGAGGTTTTTGCTTTAGGGCTCATGCACTAACCAGAAAGACAGAGAGAAACAGAGAGACAGAAAGAGAGAAATCATCCCCTAGGGGGGATGGCCGCATTGCAATCTCTTCCCCATTCTCCTCAAGGGATCTTGGACACGCATGCACATGCGCCCGGCATGAGTTTAAGCCTCTGGGTCTGGGACTCAAACCGCGGTCTACTACATGGGAGTCCAGCGACAGCCATTACACCAACTGCTGGTCCCTACACAATGT